TTTAAACCAGGCTGTCCTCGAAGGATCTGCCTGTTTCCCTAGTGCTGGGATTAAAAGCATGTGCCACTATCACCCAGCCGGAGGGTTGCATTCTTGTTGCATGAGCTGTAGGGCTGCATTCCTATTTGGAGACTTCAGAGGAGACTCCTCAAGCATTTCCATGGCAGAGACTGGAGCATGCCTGGACTTTGTCCCTTCCGCCAGCAGCTTCTGAAGTTGTCACACAGCATCGCTGTGCTGTGCCTTGATCATGCTCCCATTTCCAAGGACAGTTGTGGGCATTTCGAGCCCACTGGATAATTCAAAGTAAGCCCTATTGGAGTTTTAGAAAAATTTTATTTATTTTATGTATATGAATGTTCTATCTGCATGTATGCCTTTATGGAGGAAGAGGGCATCAGATTCCACTCTAGATGGTGTGAGCCACTGTGTGGTTGCTGGGCATGTGGTTGCTGAGCCATCTCTCCCCCCCCCCAAATGTGAATTAATATCATCTCAGTTTTCCTTTGCCATGTAAGGTAATGTATTCACCAGTTTGGGGGATTAGAACAAGGGTGTCTTTGCTGGGCTGTTATTCCCCCAAATACACATCCAAGTGCTGCTGAATAATGTTTTGGTAAATGTTGGGCCACATTTACCACACTGATTCTATAAGAGTATAATAGAGCTAAAAAAATTCTTACTGCCTAGTGTTGTATGGGAGAGATTTTTCCCCTGGGGAGACATAATTCTCTCTCTCTCTCTCTCTCTCTCTCTCTCTCTCTCTCTCTTCCCTCCCCCTCTCTCTTCCTCCGTGTCTCTCCATATACACACACATCCACTCACTCACATGTATACACACACATGTATATATGTATGTGTGTATGTATATATGTATGTATGAATGTATATGCTTTTCTTTTTTTCCCCAGAAAGGAAGCCAGGACAGACCAAAGTAATGACTGTACAAAAGTCTAACTTGGGGACCTAATCAGTTTCTGTTCGGGTTCTTAACTAGAGTATGGGTGAGGGGTTAACTTACAGTAGCAAGTAGACTCAAAAGCAGCTGCATCTGAGAAAAAGGGTGAGGACTCATGGAAGCTGCAACCCTGGAGCACTCTGCATGACTTGCAGGCAGCTCAACAGGTCAGAGAATGTCCCCTCTGCAGTTAGAAGGGTCACAGTCTCCTCCCCCAGCAGTTTACTGCTTCTGCAGCTCTGGAGAGTGACCCCCATGAGTGTTGCAAGTTTCAGCTTTCCCAGGCATGTGAAGTTGTTTACCTCTGGGTCTCCTGAACCTCTTCACTGTCTCCTGGGAAGAACCTTTTGGCTTGGAGGGCTCTGTTGCATTATACTATCCAAAGCAATGCCATCATGGTAACAGTGTGGCATCTACCCCTCAGTGTGACATGCTCCCGCTGCGTCTTTGTGGTGACATGTAGAAACAAATCTATTACTAATTGTATGAAAGAACAGTTCACACTATTATGCAGGGCACAACACACTTGGTAATGATAATAAAAGCTTAGTAGCTGCATTAAGTATTTACTTTACTGTGCTTTGGGCTATTTCAGCATGCACTCACTCCATTTATAGTTTCCTGTTGTGTGCAATGCAATGTCAGAAGTAGCATCATATGGTTCCTGCTTCTGTCTCCTAAATTTTGTTTATTTTTATGTGTATGCATATGTGCTTAAGTGGGTTTATGTGCTTCATGTGGATGCAGGAGCCCGTAGAGGCCAGAAGAAGGCATCAGATCCCTGGAACTGGAGTTGTAGATGATTGTGAGCTACTTTCTGGGTGCTGGGGACTGAACCTGGGTCCTCTGCAGAGAACAATAGGTGCTTATAACCAGTGAGCCATTGCTGCAGCTCTCTTCTGTTCCTTCTTGATCTCACCATTTTCTCTTGCACTTGATTTGATCTTCTGTTTCCTTTGTCATGCCCCAAGAAGCAATAAATCATTCCATACCTATGTACATATATGTAATGCACACTTCATATAGCATAGGTAGGTGGTAGGTTGTGTTTTTCAGGCTGGTGTGTGTATTCTGATAAAGTGGCCTAAATAACACATTTCTCAGAACATGTCCTCATGGTTAAGAGATGCATGAGTGACTGTAGCTGTAAAAGTATAAACAGAATAGTCCAGTGAACCCATCCACTCAGTCAGTTAAGGGAGTCCTGGACTGCTGGCGTAAAAGCTCTTCATTCCTTCTTTTCTTCCTTCATTCCTTCCTACCTGCCTTCCTTCATTCCTTTTCCTATTTAGCTAGAGAGGGTTAGGTAAATGGGATGATCTAGAAAAGCAGGAAATAGCAACTGCGCTCTATGATGTTGGAATGCAGTATGTCTCTCTTTCTCTCTCTCTCTCTCTCTCTCTCTCTCTCTTTCTCTCTCTTTCTCTCTCTCTCTCTGTGTGTGTGTTTGTGTGTGTGTTTGTGTGTGTGTGTGTGTGTGTGTGTGTGTGTGTGTGTGTGTTTCAGTCAGGGTTTCTCTGTGTAGCCCAAGCTGCCCTGGAACTCGCTTTGTAGACCAGACTGACTTTGAACTCAACAATCCATCTTCCTCTGCCTCCTGAGTGTTGGGACTAAAGGTTTGTCTCTGTGAGACTGCAGTGTGTTTATGAGGCCTCCAGAACTGGGTGAATCTAGTCAGTGTGGTCGTTGGACCTTTCTTTCCCTCTAGTACAGCATGTTTGTCTGGGTGTATATTCAGAAAAAGATGGAGAATTTGGTTTATAATGAGTTCCTACTTTTCGTGAGTGGATAGTATGACACCTCAGGGTCTCTCTGTTCTCAATACATAAGAAATAAATAAAAGAACATACAGCATTATAAATCATTTAGAGATTTATTCTGTTACTTATGTGTATCTGTCTCTGTGTGTGTGTGTGTCTGTATATGTGTGTGCAGGTGTGTATGGAATCCAGAAGAGAGCCTCAGATCTCCTGGAGCCAGAGTTACAGGTGGTTGTGAGCCATCTGACTTAGGTGTGAGGTCCCAAACACAGGTTCTCTACAAGAGCAGTAGACACTCTTAATTAATGAATCATCTCTCCAAGCCCAGGAGCATTACTTCTTAAAATAAAAAGCTTAACTTTCTGTTCTTTGTTTCCCAAATCCTTGTGTTCCTGTGAGCTATAAGTCTTCCATGAGAAGACGAAGACTGTAGTTGATGAGGGAACATCAGCAAGGGACTCTGATCCCACGCACTGCTCCTTCTCCATGCATGGGCTCTGAACTCACAGACCAGTCAAACGCTGGTGGGAGACATTTATGCATCTCACTGAGGACTCAAACTGTCTTTATTCCCTAAACAATACAGTGTACTAACAGTTTATATGGTATTTATATGATATCAGGTATTATAAGTAATGTAGGAAAGAAAGACAGAGTTGCAAAATTGCAGTTGTAAGTTAGCCAACAAAATGATTTTATGGTTGGGAGGTGGTCACCACAACACGAGGAACTGTATTTAAGGGACACAGCATTAGGAAGGTTGAGAACCACTGACTATACCATTTACGTAAAGGAACTGAGTATCTTTCTAGGAGGCCTGGAACCTGTTCCCAGTGGCCAATGATGACTGTACCTGACTGGAGTAAGCTTTTCCTACTTACAGCCAGCCCACTCAATGTTAGGGAGAAATGACCATCTATCACCAATGGCTAGCCCCAGGTAGGGGGGCTTCATCACTTGATTGATAGGCTCTGATAACATTTGGATGAGATTGAACCTCACTCCTCAGTTCAGCCTTTGGGAAATTTGTTACAATGTCTGGTAGGTCCACCTAGTCTACCAATGCCTGTCTACCAATGCAAGTCCCAAGACCCCTGTAGTTGCTCAGTCCATGAGGCTGGATGTCTCAGCTGGTCTTCAGTACAGGCTGGAATCCCAAAGTAGTAGCTCTAATGCCAGTGAAGGAATGGACTTGCCAGTGAGGGCAAGAGCAAGCAGGCAAACAGAGCAATTTTCCTTCTTCCATGTCTTTTACATAGGCTGCCAGCACTAGGTATGGTCCACATTAAAAGTCGGATCTTCCTACCTCAAAAGATCCAGATTAAAAGTGGATTTTCCCACAACAAATGACTTAATTAAGAAAAAAATATCCCTCACAGGTGTACCCAACCTTTTGGGTTTTAAGTTAATTCCAGATGTAGGCAATTAAAAATAGTTATCACCAATAGTTCTTAGTTCCTGTGAGCTTCGTGAGAATAAACTGCACAGTCTCCAGCATGGAAGACACAGGAGCTGCTACTCTTGCCATGCCGGAGTATCACCGGGCTTAGCAATTGGATGCATCTGACAACTGTCAGGTTTCACACTGGATCCTTTCATTGTCTGTGACATCCTCTGGACACAGTGCCTTCTCAGTGGAACCTTCCCTGAATGCTCTAGTTAAAGGTACAGTTGTGCAGCCCATACAACTCTCATGCCCCCCAGCCCCAGCTTCCCCACCGACCCAAACCCATCTCATAGCTTATTTTTGTTCATTGTACTCATCACTTCTTAGTGTATTGTCTAATAGACTTGCTTCATGGTTCAGGCTGTCTTCAGGTATGAAAATGGGAACTCAATGAGAGTAGCATGTGTGTCTGTTTTGTCACCATTCTTGTTAATGCCTGGACCTAGTAACTGGCTCAACAGGTCTAGCCTTATTAGAATAAAGAAACTGACTTTGAAAGTGGTCCTGTCTTCCAGGTACCCTGTTTCTGAAAGTTGCTGCAGCTGTCTGCAATGTTTTATTCAGAAGATCTTTTTCTCATTTCCATATCTATCTCAAATATCCTCCCCCAATGGGAGGTGACTGAAACCACACAGTGCAGGGCTGGGGCAACATATAAGTTGGGTGAGAAGAACAGTGATGGCATTGGTAGCGAGTCTCCTGTTTACTTCTGGCATCGGCACATCCCTCTATATGTTGTTGACAAGGATGCTTGTTTCAGGAGTGGTCCAGCTCTCATCACCTCATTTTCTCATCTGTATTCATGCCACAAAACTCTTGTTATGTTCTCTTGTAGGGCACCAATGCCTCTGCTCTGGAAAAAGACATTGGTCCAGAGCAGTTTCCGATCAATGAACACTACTTCGGATTGGTCAATGTAAGTATTTTTTGTTTTCAATATTTTAGGGTATTTGATGTAATGTGCTGGCTGACTTTTTTGTTTTTGCTTTGTGAGACACAGTCTTGCTTGCTATGTAGTTGGTCCTCAACTCATTATGGAGACCTGGCTGGCCTTGAACTTTCCGTGATCCTCCTGCCTCTGCCTGAGCACTGGGATTCCAGTTTTATGGACCATGCCCAACTCCCTGCTGCCATTACCATCATTACTCATTTTTAAATAGCTGTGTGCTTTAGTTAGTAGAAGAAGCAAATACCGGAGATGGGTATTTTAATCTACTATTTAAAATGTACTAACAATTGTCCCCAGCAAAGGACCTAATTACTCCGTTATTGATTGAATTCATGGCCCCTTTGCTGCATGCCTTGAGGGATTCCCTTTGTATGTGTCACTTTCATAGTGATTTCATTAGCATTCACGGCCAAAGCTGCTTTGAGTTATTTGTTCTCCCTTTCTCACAGTGTGAACATCTCAGTCTTTGTTTTGGTATGGGCCAATCCAGCTTGACCTGTACTTGCCTAATGATATAGCTTGTATTAGAGATATATAATAATATAAGTAGGATCTCCACTTGAGGTAGGGGGTGAGCTGTCAATTAAGGACCAAGGACCATTTATCCCAAAATTACTTGGCCCCATTGTTGTGTGACAAAACTTTTCCTGAGAGGTGCACATACACATCTCCTCACCCCAGATTGGGAGCTCACAACAGACCAAATTACAGATACCATCAAAGTCCAATTTGGTGACCCAATGAGTTTTATTGGGGCTACTTACAGGAATATGGGTGAGGGGTTACCTAGAGGAGCACAAAGACAGCTGCATCACCAAGGCCCACCCCAGCATGTGTGACAGACAGTCACTAAAGCCGGGAAAACTGGAGCACACTGCACAGTCTGAAGGTAGCACAACAGGGTAGACAGTGTCCTCTCTGGGTGCCTCTGGTCTAAACCTCCTCCAGGCAGCTCGGCTGGTTTCTGCTTCTTCCAGGCAGCTGTCTAGTCTGAGTCTTCTCTGCAGCTTTTGTTCTTCTGATAAACTCCTTTGTAGTTCAGCTCTGCTGACTCTGGCAGGGAGGGGCTTAGTCGATCCAGTCAGTTTCAGGGACTTCCTGAAATTATTCTGAGTTGGTTGCTTTCTTACTTAAGGAGCATCTTTGGGGGATGTGGTGTTTCCAATCTTGGAGGAAACTTTCACAGCACTAATTTCCTTTGGGCTAGGTAGTAGCCCCTAGTACTTGGCTCTCCTTATGCTCCTTGGTAAGGTGTGAGTCAGGTGTTAAGGTGGGTTACCTGGGGGTTAGGTAGTATTGCCTGGTTGGTATTAAGGTGGTGTTACCTGGGTGTTAAGGTGGTATTGCCCATCACCCCTGTGGGCTTTCTACTTTACTGTTTATATCCTCTTTATAGAAGTTTTAGGTGATAAGGGTGTTAGCTCCCAGACACAGATTTCTGGAGCAGCTCCTCTGCCAACTGCCAGTTTCCTGTTGTGAAGTGTGCCTGGAGATGCTGGACACATTCTTTGCAAGTAAATGCCATCTTGGATATAAAGGAAAGAGCTCCGTTTTTATTCTCCCTGTACGGTTAACTGGGGGTATGAACTTGGCCTTTCTGGACCTCCATTTCTACATTAATAGTGGTTGCAATGGTTTCTTCTTCTTGAGCCCAAGTGATGGATGAATGAGAGGCCCTGGGAAAGGCCCTGATGGAGGCTTGGGCAATGCTTCTTTTATTTCCCCAGAGTTGATCACTAGTTCAGGCCAGTTGTGACTCAGGGGTGTCTGGGTGAAAGACACTGAGAAGCAGAGAGAAGACTGTAGAAAGGAATGCTACGTGAGGTCCTGGGAATATAGGTCGTTGTATTGGCAAAACCCAGTCTTCTAATTTTCACAGAGTTTATTTTAGCCACTGTGCAGGGGCCTCCACTTAGCTCTCTGGAGAAAGTTATTCAATTCGTGGGAATTTTTCCTTGACTAAGGAAAATAAAAATGCAGACAATGGAGAATTGTGGATATTGCCTAGCTAGTAGAAGAGTTACCAAGTTGTATTTATTAATAGCTTCATTTATGATTCCTTGGTTGATAACTTATGAGATGCCAGCCTCTGTGTGAAGGGTTTGTCACCTGTTACATGGTCTGTCAAGGAACATTCAAATATATAGGAATCTAAGATGTTTGCACCCAGAGGCCATTCAGAAAAGATGCCCCTACGTGGGGCATTTGACCCTCTATGGCGCTTGGGAATTTGGGCTACTAATCTTGTTATTTCTTTGGAATTTCTTCCTGTTCATTTTGTGAGTGGGACTGGCTGTAAAGTACAGGTCTCAGCTGGGTCCTCCCACAGAGTTAGGCATCCAGCCACTTAGAAGTCAGTGAGATAATGATTTTGCCTCCGCAGTCAAAATCTTAGTGTCTGTGACCTGAAGAGGGAGAGACTGTTGCTGTGTGGGCCCTAATATGATTATAGGGGGACCAGGAACTTGTGTGATACCATATTGGGACAATTGCCACCTTGGAAGAAACACAAGGCAGGGTAATTTAGGAGGTAAGAGCTAGGAAGTTGGGAGGGTGGCCTATGGAGACAGTTTTTGCTCCACTGCGTTGGAGTAAGTGAGACTTTGCACTCTGGGGCAGTGGCCACTGCAACCCTGTCAGAAAAACAGGCTCTGTTCCCTAAAGGCTTGTGTTGAACAGGTGCTTCTTAACTCCTTAAATAATTCTCCCCACTGCTGTGTGTGTGTGTGTGTGTGTGTGTGTGTATGTACACATATACATACACACATATATGCCTACACATATGTGCATATATACATATATCACACACATATGTACATAATCCCCCACATATATACATATATCACACACACATATATACATGCATACGTCACACACACACACACACACACACACACACACACACACACACACACACACTTATCTCCCACTGAGCTACATCCCCAGCCCCTTCAGGTTTTTGTTTGTTTGTTTTTCAATTTTTATTTTTATAGTCATGGGAGGTTTTTGTTTTGTTTTGTTTTGTTTTTTTGAGACAGGATCTCCCTTTATAGCTCAAGCTGGCCTCGAACTCATTGTGTAGTACAGGCTGGCTTCTAACTTGCAATGATCCTCTTGCCTCAGCCTCCCGAGAGCTGGAATCACAAATGCGCATCACCATGCCTGCAGTCATGGGAGCTCTTTTATATTACACTGTACCTTTTCTTAGCCAGATGCTTTTCTGAGTCCCCATGCTATGTACATTTTTTATTTTATTTTATTTTATTTTATTTTATTTTATTTTTTTTTGAGGCAGGGTTTCTTTGTGTAAAAGCCCTGGTTGTCCTGGAATTTGCTCTGTAGACCAGACTGATCTTGAACTCACAGAGATCCTCCTGCCTCTGCCTCCTGAGTGCTGTGATTAAAGGTGTGTACTACCACTGCCCAGTTTCTTGTCTTTTTTTCTAAGTACCAGATCTCATTAGATTCCTAGTTAGAGTGCTTATTATAAGTTAGACTTTGATGGATCAGAAAAGCACTAGAATTAGTAGTCTTACCTGTGGGGGATGCATTCCAGGACCCCCAAGGGATGCCTAAAACTGGATGGTACCAAACTCTGTATAGACTGTGTTTTTCCTATACATATACTCTGATGATAAAGTTTAATCTCTATGTTGGGCACAAGAGATTAAATAATCTTCTAATAAAATAGAACAGTTCCAGGAAATCATCAGTATTAGTTTGTTTCTTGATACTGGATTGGGGCAATTGTTGAGTAATACAAAGGTTACTTGTGATACCCAAGATGTCTAAGTGGTCAGTAGGCAGGTACCACATACAGTGGTAGACTAAGGGATGATTCACATCCTGGGCAGTTTTTGTGGTGTAGGATGGTGTGAGATTCCACCACACTGTTCAGAATGGTACAGAATAGAAAATTTATAGATAATTTATTTCTGTAATTTTCCACATAATGTTCACAGACTGTGGTTGACTCTGCGTAACTGAAAGCATGGCAAGCAAAACTGCAGCTAAGTGGGGATGACTTTGTACTACAGTGGTTCTCAACCTGTGTGCTGCCCTCTGGAGTCAAACAACCCTTCCAAAGGGGTAGCCCAAGACCACCAGAAAGCACAGATTTTTACATTACAATTCATAACAGTAGCAAAATTACAGTTATGAAGTAGCAACAAAAATAATTATATGGTTGGGGGTCACCACAACTTGAGGAACTGCATTAAAGGGTAGCAGCATTAGGAAGGGTGAGAACCACTGTTGCTTCCTTTTGTTCCTATCCTTGTTAATCAGATCCACTGTTACCTAATTTGGCCTGTTGGGCTCTGATATGGGAATGTAGGTATTGGCAGGGTCCTGGATCCTGGCATCTCCCTCTCCTCCCTTGCTCAGAGGTGGCTTGTCCCCAGACAATGATTCCAGCCACCCCTCTTGTGCTTTGGCAGTTTGGAAACACGTGCTACTGTAACTCCGTGCTTCAGGCATTGTATTTCTGCCGGCCCTTCCGGGAGAATGTGTTGGCATACAAGGCCCAGCAAAAAAAGAAGGAAAACCTGCTGACGTGCCTGGCGGACCTTTTCCACAGCATTGCCACGCAGAAGAAGAAGGTTGGCGTCATCCCACCAAAGAAGTTCATTTCAAGGCTAAGGAAAGAGAACGGTGAGTGATGTGACCATAGTGGGGTTAAGGCTCTGAAGGAAGGGAAGGCAGCGGTTCTGGGCAGCCTCCAAATGGAAAGCTCATGCTAGTTCTCTAAAGGGAAAGTGAGTGTACTTAACTATAGTGGCTTCAGGGACTGGAGAGATGGCTCAGTGGTTAAGAGTGAGCCTTTTAAAAGAGTTCCCAGGGCCACCTGTAACTCCAGTTCCCCAGGGATCTGTTACCTTACACATTACATATACTTCCCTTCTCCTCTGAGTGTATTTTGTCACAGTCATGAGGTGAGTAACAATAAAGTAGGTGACAAGATTTCCAGTTGGCAACTTTTGGTTTTTGAGGGGAAATGGTGCTAGAAATATGTTGTCTATTCCAGAAGTTTCTACATTGTTAGTTTTTAAGACTATGGGAATATTTGATGTGTCAACTGGTATCTGCCCCAGTTAGCCATGTGTTTGTTTTTACAAAGTCTTGTTTAATTTGATTGCTAGCTTTAGAAGTTGCAATATTTTATGTATGCTAGAATAAAAGTGACCTGAATAGAGAAGGAAGCCACCTTCCCAGTGTAGTTGTGAGCATGACTAGTATTAGGGGCTTCCAGCTGCTTGCTTGTTCTGACAGCAGGGGCAGCAGTAGGCTTAGGGTACTTGAGTTTGTTTTAGGACCACTATGGGAAAGATATCTGTTCATATATGCTCCACGTTTCTCTTTCATCTTTCTTCTAATAGTCTTCCAGGCTGGACTTAGGGTTAATATGACTCTCAGGAAAAGAATCCAGTTGCTATAGCAAAGTGACTCAATGACTTATTAGTCACTGGTGGTCGCATCATATTCAGAATTGATACTCAGGCCTTCAGGAGATAAAGAACTTGTCAAGCAAGTGACAGGACTAGAGTCCAGACCCCCAGCACTCACATGAAAAGCTGTGCAGGTGTGGTAACCAGCCTGTAATCTCAGTAGATAGGATGTGGAGGGTGGAGATTGGAGATTAGAGCAAGCTGGGTAGCCAGACCAGCCAAATGAGGGAGTGGCAGAGATAGCCAGAGACCTTTTCCTAATAGAGAAAGTGGAGCATGACTGACAAGGATGCTAGTGTTAGCCTTGGCCCTCTTCATAGTCAGTATACACACAAGTGTGCACCTGCTCACATGTGCGCTCCCATCCCATGTAAGCATGCTTGCATACATGAAAAAAACAATAGATATTTTATCAGGGTTTTTGTCTAGTAATTTTGGTTCTTTTCTAGAACGATTAAACGTTGGTTCATTATTACAGGTGACTGTAAAGAGATAGGGGATGTTAGTGTTTGGTGGGTAGTAGGAAATAGGAATAATTCTTTGGAAAGTTACTCATTGGAATTACATAGTAGGGATGAAATATATTTATACGCCATGACTGTCCATTCTTTTGATATGAATATCGAAGCATGGCATGGAAAGCTACCCCATCTGTCCACTCTCCAGGATGCAGAGTGTGCAATCATGGCCTTCTCCTTTCCAGATCTCTTTGACAACTACATGCAGCAGGATGCTCACGAGTTTTTAAATTATTTGCTAAACACTATTGCGGACATCCTGCAGGAAGAGAAGAAACAGGAAAAACAAAACGGGAAATTAAAAAATGGCAACATGAACGAACCTGCAGAGAGTAATAAACCAGAACTCACCTGGGTCCACGAGATTTTTCAGGGAACACTCACCAACGAAACCCGATGCTTGAACTGTGAAACTGTGAGTCCTTGGTTGGGGGTGGGGGATGATGATGTCTATCTTTTTGGACATATGTGTTGGGACATCACATGCTTACCGTTGCCTTCAGTACCTGTGGGCCATTCTGTCTATTATATCTCTGAAACTCAAGTGGAAACTCTTGGAAGCCTGGGTTCATCATGATGTCTCAGCTAGGGGAAAAAAAAATAGATGTCCTAGGTAGTAGGAATGGAGTGATGAGTACATTGTCCTTAAATGTTGGGTTATTTTACTTCATGGACAGATGATAGGACTGAACATTGAAGTATTGACCTAGATTGTGACCCACTTAATTAGAAGAGGTCAGGTGTGACCCACTTAATAAGAAGAGGTCAGGGGTCATCATGAAGAGGTCAGGGATGAGGTAGGGACCATTGGCCTGACTTCTGGGAGTCTACTGTGGTACAGCCCAGTGGTAGAGGAAGATTGATTTTGACTTGTCCTCAGCCAGCCGGTTAGGTGAGAGGCCTGTCATGGGGTTTTTGTTGTTGTTGTTGTTGTTGTTTGGGTGGGAGGAGTTGGTTGCATCTGGAAGCCCTTAAAGTGACTTGGATTTAAGGACATCCTTTCTAGAGAGTGACTCAGGGTGACATATTTGCTTGTTATATTTAACTTAAACTTTGAGAGTACCTTCATTTTTTGCTAGGGCCAGCCGCCCAGGTTTCCATGCTGGCCCTGACTTGCCATCACATTGTTGCTTTCTTCTGTGTCTTCACTGTCCTCATCTGTAAAACAGGGTTGATGTACACAATATCCCATTGGTGGCTGGGAAGAGTGGATTTGAAGATGTCTGTTAAATGCAGGGCCGTACTTGACACACGACAGAGTATGTAAAGAATGTTGTCTGCCGTTTATTCTAATGTCGCCTGCCATTTATTATAACTGCTAAACCCACAGAAAGTCTGTGACTCTCTAGAGTTCCTATAGTTTCTTGATTCGGACAGATCTGTCTGCATATGCATTTTTTGGGAAGGAGAGATAAGTAGCTTATAACAGAATCTGCTAAGGGTCCCTTGTCATGGTCGCCCCAGCTGTCATTAATGGTGTCATCCATCATGGGTGATTTAAACCAGGGCTTCTTACTTTTTTTCTACTTGTGACCTCTGTTAGCCCAAGAAAATTTTATGTGACTGGTTTATACCGTAGTCATATAAACCAAACATTTATAATAATCATAAATTTATTTTACAAAAGTTCTTTGGGGGACTACATAATTTTGCCATTTATTAAAGGAGAAAGCATATTTACATTCTAATGAGATGAATTTTCTTATTTATTTCCCCACAAAAAATTTAGTAGTGGCTGACTCTTTGATGCTGTGGGGTGCAGAACATCTTCACTGTTTTTCAGAGGTGATCAGTATTTTGATTTTATAACCATCAGTATTGAGAACACTGCTTCATATTAACACAAAGGAAAAAAATGGCAGAAGTATGCTTAGGACCATTTCATAAATTTTTAGAAATTCTATCCCTCCTAAGACAAAATTAATTTACCTTTTTTTTTTTTACTTTTGCTTTTGAAAGATATATTTATTTTTATGTGTATGTGTGTATGCCTATTTGAGTTTATGCTTACCACATTCATGTAGATGCCCTTGGAGGACAGAATGGGGTGTTGAATCCCCAGGGACTGGAGTTATAGATGGTTGTGAGCTGCCCTATGTAGGTGTTGGGACACAAGAACAGTGTATGTTCAGGGCACACAGCACTCTTAGCCACCGAGCCATCTCTCCAGTTCCTGTGTAACAATATTAAAAGAAGCTCAAGTCAGCAACGCTTAACAGCAATGTTTAAAATCAAACATTCTAACACACTCCAAACATATACTAATTTAATACTTGCATGCTGAGGAATGATTGCAAGGAAACATAAAAAAGACTTTGTTTTCTGTAATTCAATTACTGTTTTTATAAGAGCAGAAACCTTTGTGCTGTTCATGCAATATGATAGGCTCAGGTCTGAGCCCTCGTGTTTCAGCCAGTATTCATTGGCAGTGGTGAGATGGCACCAACAGAGCCAAGGGAGTATGTTGTGTGTTCAGAACCAAGACTGCAATGAAATCTCAGGGCAACAAAGCACAGGTGACATCATCAGAAACACCGCAGGTTCACTGTGTATTTGATTTTGACTAATTTTGGTCAGTGTACATTCAGAAACTTCTCATTGCTAAATGTTCCGCAGGTCCCACATTTAGTTATGTGAAGTCATGTGGGGTCACAATGCACGCTTAAGAATCAAGCGCTTGAATAGTAGAGGTTTATTCCTCACAGCTTGGAGTCTGGAGGACTGAGGTCAGGAGGCCAGTTTGATTGGGTTCTGGTGAGGGTGCTCCTCTGGTGGAGACAGAGAAAGCAAGCGCTCTCACACCCATGCATAACCAAAGGCTCCATTTCCACATAGCGTAGCTTTCCTGAGTGGAAAGTCAATGACAGTATTGGGAGGTCACAACAGCCTTTTTCGAGTTGTGATCCTTTAACAGTTGAGAAATGTAGACTCACACTTAAGTATAAGAGAGGGGCAGAAGGCATTGCATCTTTGACAATCCTTTTGGTTTCCTTCTCAACACTATTTGAATCAAGATTCTGATTCATTCCTCATAGAAATGGTTAAAAAAACAAAACAAAACAGATAAGTCAAAAGAAGACTAAAAATCACAAGGATTCTTCACATCCAGAGATGAAAAATGTATAACATCTAAAAATGTGATTATATTTGTTTAGAGGTCAGCACTTGAACATATAAAATTGTAACCAACAAGGCATTTTTGGCACAATCCTATTTCTCTGGGTCTCCTCTCCCTTCTTTCCCTTCCCCTTATCTGTCCCTTTATACCTTTTTTTCCCCCCAGTAAAGTTCAAGTGGATGCAAAAATAGAGAAAATTACAATGCATTGTGTGTGTATGTGTGTGTGTGTGAGAGAGAGAGGGGGGGAGGAAGGGAGGGAGAGATCTAGGATTGAAGGATTGATCATTTTCATTTTCTCTCCTTCCACACCTCTCTTCTTTCAACTTGCTTTATTTTTTTAAGCAAATCCCAGATATTGTTTCACTTGTAATTGATTTATTATCTGTATATGCCATTCTAAGTCTTTCTAAAAGCACAATATCCTTTTTATATCTAAAAATAAATTTATAAAAATAATTTTATTATTATTCACTCATTGTTGAAGTCTATCTGATTATGTCCTGTTCTTGTAGCAGAATAAAATAAAAAATATTACATTTTTTAAAAAAATTTTCCATTTTCTCGTGTGTGTTGCATGTGTGGGTATATGTGTTCGAGTGCGTGTGAGTGTACATGCATGTGCAGGCATGAACAACCTTGGAAATCATCTTTCATCACTCTTCCACCTTATTCATTGAGGAAGGGTCTCTTAGTCAAGCCCAGGGCTTACTGGTAACAGCTGATCTCTAGAGTCAGCTTGCTTTGGGGATCCCCTTTCTCTTGTTTTTCAAGGCAGGAATTATAAGTGGGTTACCATGCCACTCAGCATTTAAATTGTTCTGGGACTCTAAAGTCCGAGTCGTGCTTGCACAGCAAGTGATTAACCACTGAGCCTTCTCCCCAATCCTAAAGTTGGTTAGTTTATGATCCATAAAGCAATATGTGTGTTAATCTATAATTTATCCCTACCCTCCTTCTCCTTTATGATTAATTTGTTTTGAGAAATCAGGTTATTGTCCTGTAGTATTTCCTACATTTTGAAAACATTTTTGTGGTGTTATTTACCTAATTAAAAAAATTTAAAATGTTTTAAATTACGTGTGTGTGTGTGTGTGTGTGTGTGTGTGTGTGTGTGTACACGCGCATGTACATGCAGGTGCCAAGGTGGTGGTGGGATGTCAGAGGACAGCCTTCAAGTGTCAGTCCTTTTCTTCTACCATGTGGGTCATCAGGTTTGGTATCAACAGCCTTTACTACCCCCCATCTCCAAGTCATCTTCTTGACTCCTCATTTATCTGACTTTTACAATAAAATGTAGATCTGTTTCTGAAAAGACCCAGAAAGACTTTTGCCTGTGTGTACCAAAAGACTTACTTGCAAAGGAAGGCTTGGAGCAGCATTTTATTTTATCTAATTGTTTTTCCACATAATATATTTTGATCATCTTTTTTCCCTCCCCAACTTCTCCCAGATTATTCTCATCTTTCTGCTCACCCAGCTTCATGTTCTTTCTTGCTATTTTCCTAAAACAAAGCAAAAACTGGAAATCAAAACAAGCAAAAAAACCAATAACACAAAAAAGAAAAAGAAAAAGAAAACAAGAGGAAATAAAAAGGCTATAAAAGCCCCATGATGTTAGATTCTTGTTGGCCAACAGCTCCTGGGCATGGGGCCTACTCTGGAGTGTGGCTGATGTGCCCAGTGACACTCTGTTGGAGAAAGCTGATTTTGGAACAGCATTTTTTTTTTTAAAAAAACAAAAACTTGCCTACGTCACCAACACATAGTTAGCAATAGAGCATTGCCAACACCCTGATGCCTCTGCTTCCTTTCAACTTTGTTTTTCCTCTATTCTCCCTATACCTTTGAGTTCATCATTATTTTCTGTTCTATAGATTATTGGTACTTGCTTTACAGTTTTTCTTTTTTTGTTTTTTTCGAGACAGGGTTTCTTTGTGGCTTTGGAGGCTGTCCTGGAAACTAGCGCTTGTAGACCAGGCTGGTCTCGAACTCACAGAGATCCACCTGCCTCTGCCTCCTAAGTGGTGGGATTAAAGGCGTGCACCACCAACGCCCGGTGCTTTGCAGTTTTTAAGAGTGTTTATTTTCATTATTTTTAGTTATGTATACATGTGAATGTCTGCATGTGGGTTCAAGTGTCTATGGAGGCCCAAGGCACCTGGGCCTGAGGAGCTAGAGTTACAGAAGTTCAGCTGCCTGACGTGGATACTGGGAACCGAACAACTTGTGTCCTCTGAAAAAGCAGCCAGTGCTCTTAACTGCTGAGCCATCTCTCTAGTCCCCTGATTTAATAGA